GGGGGGGGGGGGGAGGGGTGTGAAAAATGTAACTTGGAGTGTGCGAGGTTGAAAGTTACATTTAATAAGCCCCCCCCCCCATCGGGGGAGAATGCATTGTGCAGAGTCTTGTGATGTCATTTGCCTGCGATAGTAGCAGGAATGGATCAAGAGAGAGGTCGTATGATGTTGTATGAAGTAAGAGCTAGTCAAAGACAATCAAAGCGAGAAAATCAATGCAGTCAGAACACAGGGTGAAAAGGCATGTGTACATGTAACATCATGTTACATATGCCAGCTGCGCAAGCACATTCCAGGTGATACTGCATGCTTCCAAGGCCTGGACACACCTAAGTTACAATTGCTTATGGGTCCACAGCACATCACAACAAAACACAACAAGTCCACCAAAGCACTCCAGTTGAAAAGGTATGTTTAAATGTAACATGTGACAGCTGCACATAGCACAGATTAGGTGAAAATGCATGTTTCCAAGACGTCCACATGTCTAAGTTACATTTCTTTCTTGCATTCTGGTCCAACACTGCTGACACTGTGGCACAGCAGGTCTAGAATTAAACGCACTCCTCCCACAACATCAAAACAGAAGAACTCCAACCAAAGCACACCCAGTGATAAAGGCATTTAAATGTAACATATGCCAGGTGCACACAGCACAGTCTGGGTGATAATGCAAGTTTCCCAGGCCTGCGCACACCAAAGTTACATTTCTTTCTGGCATTCTGCAGAGGAACCAGCTGATGAGAAGAGTTTTGCGTAGTCGAAGAGCGCAGTCGAAGAAGAAAAGAACCCATATGCCTCACTGAGTCTTGCGTAGTGTTACCTTGAACCACCCTAGACCTGAAAAAATGTGACTTACATTTTTTACATATTTAGTTACATTTTCCCTGGAATAATGTAACTTGCATAAGTTACATTTTTCATTAAAAGCCTAACAAATGTAAGTTACATTTTTCCAGGTATATGTAAAGGGCTGAATGTAAGTTACATTTTTTCAGGTCCCCCCCCTGCTAAGGGGTAGGGATTTAATATCATAAATTTGATGAGTCCAGAACTTCTCCCAACGCTTGCAGCTCGCCCCAACCGTTTGGTCCATCCGCGAAGACTCGCCCCCCCCCCGACCTCATGGCGTCGAGACCGAGTCGGTCGGGTCCCGGTGCAAAGCGGAAGCGCTTGGAAGGACTCTCGCATAACGACCTGCACGGTGGTAATCTGCTGGTGGACAGTCAGGGTCTGGTCTGGCTCATTGACTTTGCCACGGTGAAAGAGGATCAGTCGCCCGGTCGGAGTTGGGACATGAAGTGGTATATAAGAAGCGATGTGAGGTCGTGGGGGGCCTTCGGCCGGCGCTTGTGGAGATGGGTTGGACGAAAGTTCTGGATTGGGTGGCCGAAGCCGCTGGTTTGCTTGTGATGGACAGGGTAAAGGTATGTAAGGGTGGGTAAAGTGTCCTTTTGCCAGCGCTGGGAGATGTTTTTCACTTGCGGTGTGTGAGGCATGTGCTCATGGATTTGACCAAGTTCCTGTCAGCCTGCACTTTCATGTACTTGCAAGACAAGGTCAACGAGAAGCACGTGGCTCTGGCTCAAAAAGAGGATCTTCGACCATCCAAGTTGACAGATGTTTTGGTACATTTTTTTCTGCATACTGTACCTTACTTGTTGGACGGCCCGGCGATAGCAGTTGCCTTTCCTTGCCCACCTCTAGCTCGCCCAACACACGGCCTCGCAGCTTGTCCAGCGGCTTGTCCACCGACCGGTCTCGACCGGCGATAGCAGAGCCGGTCAGGTGAAGTCCCTAGTAGCGTCCCATCGCTCCTAGTAGTAAGGCCAGGAGCCCCTAGTAGCTTCTTGTTCCCAGTAGCGCTGCCAGGAGCCCCGTTCGTAGCGCCCGATCGCTCCTAGGTGAAGTCCTTGGCCAAGATGCTGAGCTGCACGCCGGACGCCACGACCGACTTGCCATTGGCCTTTCTGAGCGACGCCAGCGAGGACGTGGGGGGCGTAGGGGGCGTGAGGTAGGGGTTTCGGGCGGTAGGGGAGCGAAATGGGGTGTTCAGGGAAGAAGAGGTGGCAGAGGTGTGTTCCGCTCCGTGAAGTCTCCCAGAATTGGTTTGTAGAAGGGAAGATTTGTGGGAAACCAGGGTTTTCACACCCAAAACCATCGGTTTCGTGTAGATGCTCCCTTAAGGATCCTCTAGACTACTTGCCCAAGCTGTCCACTCAGCCACACGTTGGCTTTGGATAATAACCTTTGTTGTTGATCGAATTTCTGGATGGGCAGGTGGACGAGCTGTTTTCCAACTAGCCTACAGCCCCTCAAGTTGAGCCAATTTACATACCGATCATTGTTTCATCTTTTGCTTCCCCACGGGGTTATTCCTACGTCACATCGCTGAAGACGTACCAATAGTGCCGATTCGCTGTGATCCCATCCCGGTTGAGGATCCCATCGCCATTTTCTTCTTTCGCATCATCTCACGTTTGCGCTTCTGCATGTGCGTCTACGAGAGCGGGCCCGGCTCGCCGGAGAACGACGGGCCGCGGAGCTGCAATGGTGTGACGGGTCTTCGCCGGGCCAATCCTCGCCCTTGTTACTAGCTTCTTGCTATGTTCGTAGCAATGCCAGGAGCTACGTTCGTAGCGTCCTTGCTCCGTTCGTAGCGATGGTTTTTGGTACTACTAGCAAATCCTCTACCAGAGTGGGTAGTATCAACGAGATCTCTTGAACTAGTCTGCTGCGCTCGCCATCCTGCAAAAGACTGATGCCAGGCTGCCAGGCCATTGGTTGAGCAGTCACTGACGCAATACGGAGCCATTGAAGCCTCCTCCTAAATTGGGGACAGAGCCTGTTGTTTCTCTACGACGCGCTTTTCCTTTATACAGGGCACAAAAGAGGGCCTTCTGTGCGGCTTTTCTTGTTTCCAGCACTGAGGCTGCCCTTTGCCATCGCACTCTTCTCATGGTCGGCACGAATGCTGTCCTACTCCGAGCCTTCGTTGTATCAGAAGACGCGAGCCTTGTGACTTGGATGGGATCTGGTGACTGGTGGAATGGGTGGATGGGTCAGACATAGATGTTGAGCTCATGTGGAGTCCTAATTGTAGACTCTTGATTCACAACCCCCTCGACTGGCGATTCTGGTTTGATTGCTGTGATGCTACACCCTTGAACGACAAAAAACTTATTTGGTCGTGGGGTGATGACTAACAGGTGAGGTAAACTAAGTGATTGGAAGTTCAAGGATGGATGGGATGATGGTACAACAACTAAAGTAGACAGTTGACATCTCCATATTGGGGTTTCATGAATCAACAGTCTACATTGCTTAGTAGATCAGCCCTGTAGAGAGAGGAACATCCAAGTTGGCCGGTCTTTGGCACTGTATCCGAGCCTTTCCAACGGATTTTTCTCTGATCATCTCAACTGGGCCAGTCGTCGCAAGTCTCGGAGCCACATGGCCTGAACGCCTGGGCGATGCGTGCCATGACGTGGGGGGCGGGGACTCTCCGGGGTCGCATCGAGTCGCGGTTTCGTTCCAACCCTTGACACCGGAGTGATCGACTTGATGGACCGACTGGAACAGTCCACACGCACGGGCACGGGCCGTCGTTGTTCCTCCCGCCCGTTTCCCGAGGTACTGGTCCATTGCTGGGATGCAGCGTCTCCTGTGGTCCATCGGTCACGACGTGGGCCCCACGGCCACGAAATGGATCGAGGACGTCCGACGAAGCCGCCGAAGCGGTCGAGAGTCGAAGAGGACGCCTTCTTTTCCACGGTGGAAGAGACGAAGTAGAGACGAAGACCTCTGAAATCAGAGGCCTCCAGTGTTTTACTTTTTTTTTTACAGGGGGCTACAGCTTACCCTGGTTTTTCTGGCTCCTAAATTGATCCAACATCCAGACCGGAGCTTGGTGCATATGACTGGTGCATATGACTGGTAAGCATCACTACTCTTGGCACATGCCCAAGGGATGATCTTTTTCGACGATTCAACAGTATGACTCTCGCAATACCCATGTCTTTATCCAACTCCGGTTTTTTCTGTGTTTTTCCTGTGACACAGAGGGCCGAGCATTTCCGAAATCACTCAATGCAGTGCCCGCGGTTTTTTTGGGAAGCAATACCCTTCTGACGCCTTTTGAAGCGCAGGAGAATCGCTCCCTCTGGGAGGGCCAAAAGGGGAGGCGATTGAGTAGCTCGGTCGCCACGGACAAGCAAGCGGTCGCCGCCTACCAGTCCGGGATCCCCAGCTATAGGGCTTCTTCTCAGGTCGAGGGACCATCGGACCATCGGAGCAGAGTCAGACCTCGCACCTGTTCAGACATTTTCTAGGAGGATTTGGCTGTTCAAAGCGAGTCCTTAGCGTCCTTAGGGTTAGCGGCTGAATGGGTGTTTGCTGGCTTTCGAGCAGAGTGTCAGCAGCTGAGGTTTGAGCTTGAGCTCCCGACGTACCTTTCTCAAGCCGGAGCATCAGAGGCCGGTGGGCGAGGGCAGACCAGGCATCATTTTTCTTGAGCTTGTTTAAGGCTTTGACTCGATTTGGGTGTTGATGGCTTTTATATAGTCTGTTTTTCTATGTTTTTCTTTTGAATATCTCTCACCTATGCAGGTGATATTCTGCAGTCCGTCCCCAAACCAAATGAGTGGGGGCGTTGGCCGACGGGATCCCGACCCCGACATTTGGCCGTCGGCTGGGTCTCCGGGTCTCACCGAGCCGAGACGAGACGAGCCTCGGTCTTCACCGGTTTCCACAGGCGTGGTCTTCAGACATTTTGACCCGCGAGAAGGTGAATGTGAGTGAATCCTGCGTGCCGTGCCATGGCTGGAAGTTGGGATCGGTTCTTTGGATTCCAACGGAAGCACCCCCTTTTGAACAGCAGGGTGTCTCCATCGGTGACATTGCGTGGAGAGTTTGCTGGCTCTGAGGTTGACAAGCAAGTTTGATGGACGGCTGAACACGCGATCTCACAGTCTGTCTGCGAAGGCCTGGATTTCGTGACTTGGGCGGGGACCGAAGCCCTCCCTCCCTGGCTTTCGCTCTCGCTCTGTCGCTGAAGGGGATGCGCTTCCCAGGCGGAGCAGCTGCTGAACAGCTTCAAGCCGGTCTTCAAGGCCCGCTGCTTCGACCTCTAGCGTTGCTCTTCGCGGGCTCTGAAGGGCATTGGATGCCGCGGCGGTTCCCCGTGCGGGGAACAACAAACGAATTATGCAGGGTCCTGACAGTGTGAAGCAAGTCCTAAGTAAAGCCAGTAAAGCTGCATGTCTAGGGAGATGCAGCACATTTTCGTTTGTTCTTTAAACCTTGGACCGTCCAACCAGTCGCAGAACACGGGTGCCTTCAGGCCTTTGCTCCCGCCCTGCTTGAGCAAGACCTTTTCAGTGGGCGACTCCTCATTGTTGGAGATGCAGGCGCTCACAAGCTCCCGCCTTTGTTGCAACTTTCTTCATACCCTTGTTACTAGTAGCTTCTTGCTACTAATAGCAATAGCATCTAATAGCGATGGCCTCCACCCTAGTAGCGATGGCCTCCAATCTAGTAGCATCTAGCTCCCTGGTGACCGTCCTCCTCCATCTTCCGTCGGAGGCTCTGGGAAGTCGGTGCTCACGAAGCAGATCTTCGCCACGCTGGCGCAGGACCAGGCTCGTGGGACCGGACGAGAAGCGGCGTCGAAAGGACTTGGTGGACTCAGGTGGACGAAGCGATGGATCTCCCAACAGTGACGAATTTCTGCCTTGCCTTTTTCATCTAATTAATATAAAGATCAGTCCAGTTCGGCAGACAGTTGGCATAGTTGGAAGATCCAGATATAGGAAGAGAATCGATGAACATATCGAGTCAATGGCAACGGAGGAGCTTCCTCAGCTGCACCAGCGGTACGCCAAACGGACTGTGGTAGCAAAGGAAGCGGCTGGGTGCATGTGTCCCTCTAGTAGCTGTGGAGGCGAGCGACCAATGCTCTTGCCCTCTTTTCAAGCACTTGAGAGAACATTGAGGAATGGTTCAATTGGGCCTAATCTGTGACCATTCGACTTGAGAAATTCATTTGCTTTAGATGGTGCACCAAAACTTCTGTGAGGAGTCTGCTTTTTGGGATCCTCCTCGCGCCTCTTTGTTCACCCGCCTCCGATCACCAACCCCGGGGGAGACCGGGGACCCTGCGCGCAGCAACTCGTCTGCGCAGGTGAAGGCGTGTCAAGCCCTGCACGACCTTCCGAAGGTCAAGGAGCGACCGGTCGGGAATGGGAACCCCCGTAGCTCTGTTCCACAGCTTCTCACGTCGCTACCACCACGTGGAGCGGAACGGACCAGATGTGGAGGGACATGTTCATGAAACAACAGCGATTCGGCGAGTGAGTAGCGGACTTCAAAACGTCTCCAAAACATCCCGAAACCAAGACCCATGAAGATTGGACTGCTTGAGGCTTGAGGAGTCTTTCACTGCTTTGAGCCAAGCTCAAGGCGTGAGTGAAGGTTGGCCTCCGTTGTCGCATCACCTTTGTTTCTTACACACTCTTGTGGCCCTTGTGGTTGGTGTTTTTGGGGGCTCGTCCGGGTCTTTGACAACGCTTCCGTTTTTGGACGCCCGGTCTACTCTGTGTTTTGGGGCCTCCGTGCCAGACCCTGGGCTTCTTTCGCCACTGCGGTCGCAGTGGCTCCCTCTGTTGACAGGACGACGACGGCCGGGACATGATGCCGAAGTTGAATGTGGCTTTTCTTCCGGTGCGTGTGCCCTTGGTGGATTTGAGCCGGCAATTGGAAGAGACGCCGGAGGATGAGATCAGCTTGGAAGCAGATGTGATCAGCGATTTGCTCAACACTTTTGTTGCCAAGAAGTATGGCCAGGCACGTGCATCCGGGTACTGCTGGGGTACCGATCGATAGACTTGTGCAGGAGATATAGTACATGAATGGTGCCGGTGGCCTCATAGCTACGCAAAAGGTTCGCAACCAATTCTTTGTGTGTTTAACGGTCCACACTGTGGCCCTAGCTCATCCGCTGTTCCAAGGGTGTCCGCCTAGTGCACCGAGGATTGAGCCGTAATTTTTTGATGCGAGCCACTAGATTCAGACCAATTTGTCGGAGCCATCGTTTAAAAGCTTAATTAGAACCAATGATCTTCCTGTCTCTTCGGTCAGTATTTCTGTATTTGATCTTCCTGACGACCTTCGCCTCATCCTTTGCGTTCGAAAGCCTTCATCGAACTGCACCGTGACATCACCATGCTTCTTCTCGATGTCAATCAAACTCGAATCTTCTCATGTCGCCATTGCCATCGCCAGGATTCCAACCTCCTGATGCTCGTACAGGACATGCGCAACGCTGCAATGCCGGACTTCGAGGATGAAGAGGTGGCTTTCGGACTCGTCTTGTTGCTGGATGGCTTGGATGAAGCTTCTTCCAGGTGCCACAACACGCAGGGCCACGCTGGTGAGGTGGAAGGTCTGGAGCAAGGGCCCGGTGTTTTAAAAGAGAAGGATGGTTTGGTTGGAGGTCGCATGCAAGTGCTGGAGAAGTGGCAAGAACCACCCAGAGGATTTCAATGGATTTGTTCGATCATTTTTGATGTTTTTTTGGTTTCTTTTTGTTGAGCAAATCCGTCGGTCCAGAGGATCTCAATGGCCGTTGCTCTTTTTGGGGGGACTCTGGTGACCACCCGTGGCGTTTTTCACCGTTCACCGGCGTTTTGTTGCTCCAAAGCTCCGGTTGAGGGATGGTTTTTGTCTCTGGGTGAAGTTGATGGGAGCTTGGCAGGTCATGACCCAGAAGTTGGCAGGGGGTGGGATTGTATGTTTTTGAATCTAGAGAGAGAGAGAGAGACAGATTTGAAGGCGCTTGATGGTCTTGGATTACATCAAGTCCTTGTTGGCGCATGAGCAGAACCACTTCCCGATCCTTACTTCCAGACCAGGCTGGCATGTGGGAGCCAGGAGAGATTGAGCAAAGAAAACATATATTAAATAAATGAATGAATAGATAAATATATACATATTACGTATCAAGGCCCCCAAATAGATAGAAAAGCAACACCCTTTTCAAAATACATTGGATACCGCTTCTATCTATCTGGGGACCGCCATATTGCATTGAGTGATGTCGGAGCAAACCCTTTCGCGTAGCAACGATACTATGTCGAAGTGCTCGCAAAGTTCTCGGCTCAAAGCAACCGCTTTACCCCCCTGGCAGCCCCATGTGGCTGTCAGGGCGAGCCGATATAGGGAGAAGTGGTGCCGGCATAAGTTTGATCCGGGCCACATTGTGGAAGGGGCGATCAGAGATGATGATGATCGCGCCCATGGGGCAACGATCCTGGAAGTGTTGACACCATCAGCACCGATGAGAAGGGCCATTGGTTTCGTGGCAAATATGTCATTGCCAGTGACCCGCACATGCGGTGGTGGATGCGCGAAGGTGGAGGCAGCGCACTAGCAGCGAGATGTGCTTGCCTGCGAAGGCTTTTTCATTGACTGCCAGGCATCGACCTTGAGAGGTTCCGCCGATTGACTCAGAAGGAGATCAACAGCAAAGTCCCCAGTTGGGCCTTCGAGAAGGGATGCGTAAAGGATTTCTCCAAGTACCTCAAGGCGTGGAAGAAGGAACCCGGCAAGGAAGATTGGCCGGTCACCAGGCTGTGAAACCACCTCTCCTCGAGGTGTAACAGGGTGCCAATGGACCGACAACCTTCCCACTAGAGGTTGTCCTGCCTCGAGCAGGCTCACTCTCCATCCTAGCACACTGGCGGAGCCGCAGCAATTCAAGCCTCCAGGCCCGAATGCAGGACCTTTGCAAGGCCGTGAAATGCACTTGAGCAAGTTGCGATGTACCTTCTTCAATGTATTGTTTGGCCGTGTTGTTGCAGGCCCACCGTGCACGGGCTACCGTGGCATCCATGCTCAGTGAGGTCTGGAAGTACCAGGCTGCGCCTCTTAAGCTGTATGGAGTGTAGTCGTCAGATTTATATAAAATACCAACCGCTCGAACGGCGCCAGAGAAGTTGGCACGCTCCACGATGGAGGTAACATAGGCAACCAGTGAGGAGTCAAGGACGGTCCATGGGCGCAGGCCTGCGACTGGCCTTGCCCACAAAGTTCTATCGACTGATGGCCCAGAGCGGAAACACGAAACAATCTGGAGGCTTGCGGGTGGTGGTCCGCCAGTTCCACCTCATGGCCCTTGGAAAGTTGCTTGCCCAGCAGGCCCTCGCAATATACGCTGCTTCACCAGCAGCGCAAGACTCCACATCCAGGAGCGCCGTGGATTCTCCACTGACCAGCAGCATTTGGTCCCTCTCCTATCCTCTTTGCCTCTCTTCATGGCCTTCAACACATGCCCGGCATCCCGGACTGTTGCGGCTCTGCTGAACAACTTGCATTCTGGATTGAACACGCTTGAGAATCCTTGAACACACCTTTTGGTTGACCATCACCATCAAGGGTCCTCTCAAATGCTGCCCTCACCCCTTGTTCCGCTCGTGATCATTGGCCCTGACCTTTGAGTGGTGAGGCTTTTCTTGCCTTCCACGGAGCGGCTTCAAGCAGGTGTCTGACAGGGATGAGCTTCTTGAACCAAGTGGTTTGGCTTCACTGCGTCCTGCGCCGCTGCTTGTCCTACCTTTGGCCATGCCGCTATGACCTTGTCCACCGCGATGTTCTCCATCTGGACCGGTCAAACCTCGTGGCTGCTAAACGAGGGGCAGCCCCCTCAAAGCATTCACATCAAAGCTCCAACGCTTCCAGGTAGCAAAGGGCCGGCGCAGGTGCTCCAACGTCAGCTTTTGTGCCACGACTCAGCTTTGCACGGGGGTCTAGCTGCGCTGCACCATCCTGGAGCCAGGAAGCGACCCGCTCACGCTGCTAACCTGATAGGCAGAGAGTGAAAGCCTGGACTCTGGGACACCTGCGTCAACTCATGGCTTCGAGGTGAAGACCTCTATAGAGCGAGGTGCGGGGCGACAATCTATTGCCAATCAGCCCTAACATCGCTCAGGGTGTAGCCTGCA